ATCACCAGAATATTTTAACAAAGGAACTGTTGAAATGGCTGAACTGTTGTGGCTGATATTTTCCAAAACAATTCAGCTTGAGGCAGATACTGCACATGAAAAATTTCAACCAAAATGATTAAAGATTGCCAAAGTTATAAGCAACTGAAAATGGGGTCTTTATAATGGGAAATATCAGGCAACCCTAATAATATGTGGTGCCTATAGTTAGAGTGCCAGTAGATGATGCTCAAAAATATGTAGTAATGTTACTGGGTTTTGTAGGAACAATAAGACTTCTTGTTGTGCACTGCAAAATGGCTTCTTTACATGTAGCTGTTAACAAGGTGTCCTAGGTAAAAGGTTTTTACTCCTTTGATTCTTGTTATGACTATTGAGGGCCCCAAGTCACTTTGGCAAATGGCTGTGAGTAACCTTTCACTGCCTGTTGCAATACAAATGCATGGGGATTTATGTGGAAACTAGAGCTTTTTCAGGGCCTCATAGAAAAACAATGAAATAGCTGCAAGTCTAGACAAAAGGAGAATGACAGAGCAGCTAAACTGAATACAATAAGTTGGTAAGGACTGCTTTGGAATTGTTCAGCACTTGCAGCTAGCAGATGAAGACACTGTCTAATCATTGAATATTGATGTAAAAATCTCATATTTGCCTCTTTTTCCTCTGATTGTTGAAGAGCAATGTAAAATTTGCTCCAATTTTATCCTTTTTTCAAAATCCCTTCTGATTTTGACCCTTTTTCCTCTCTAACAAATATTGATAGAAAATCTTTGCAGATTTTGCCTTTTTTCTCTCTAATTCTCAAGTACTGATATAAAATTCTCTCAGGGTTTGTCTTCCCGCCTCTCTTTTCAAACTGAAATCACATATGGTTTTGAAGAAGAAAACAGTTGGCCTCAATCACTGATTTGGTGTGCTCCTCCCCACAACACTGATCATCTTTCCTAATATCTGAGAACTAAAGTGTTTTTTCCCTTTTCAGTCGTTTGACATATTCCAGTGCGACAGTTGCCTGGAGTTAATTAGAGTAACTCGTCTCATATTTAATATTCATCAGTGATTCAAGCTCCAGATGGAGCTACCCATTCAGATGTCCACCTGAACTCCATTTCTCACTTGCCAACTTTTTCTTCATCCCCAGGCAATACCCATTCCCACCGACAACAGAATCTTCTGGAACCTCCTCATTCCAACCTTCCCTCTCATCTCATGCTACAACTCCATCACCAGGACTTCCTTTTTGAATGGCAAGAGAGTGGGAAATAACTTTCTTTATCACTGCTGAATTTTGATATAGAAATCTCATATTTTACCCCATTTCTTGCTAATTATTGAATATTGATGGGATGTCCCCTCAGAATTTGCCCCTTTTTTCTCTAGTTGTCAAATATACAGATCCAATTTCCTCAGGTTTTATCCTTCTTTTGCTAATTTTCAAATATCTATATAAATCCCCTTTGTTTCTCTTCTTTGTGCCTAATTTTAAAAAGTGATATCAAGTCCCCTCATATTTTCTCCCTGTTTTCTCTAATTATTGAATACTAATATACAACCCCACTCAGATTTTGCATTCCCCCATTCTCCCCTTTTCTTAAACAGCAGCCACTTCTGGTTTTGGAGGGAAAACAGTTGGCCTGAGTCAATATCCTAGGATGGGGCTGAAGTTATTAAACATCTCAGACCCTCCCCAATGGTAAGCTTTCTCCTCATGAATAAGAATAATGTTATTCCTCTTTCAGTCAATAAAAACTGACATGTTTGCAGAGTTTCACCATAGTTAAATTAATCAAGGATAGGAGCTTTCACCCCCCCCCCTGAGCTGGTAATGTACCCAAATGAAACTGCCCACGTCTAGATGCCTAGTTGAACTCCAGTTCCTCCCATTGCTGCCCACTCCCAACTGCCACAGAATCTTCTTGAACTTACTGGTTCCAGTCTCTCCTCCCTTTTCCTATTAAAGGCATCATCATCAAGCAGGGGCATCTGCTGCCTGTTTGAAAGGCATGCAAATAGGGAATAACTTTCTCTATAATCAAAATCAAATTATTTGGAATCTCTTCCAGTTTTACCCATTTTATCCCTAACTGTCAAGGTAAAATTCCCTTAGGTTTGTCTTTTTTTTTTTTTAAATTCCTTCTTAAACTGCAGTCATTTCTCTTGGGTTTTGAGAGAAAACAGTTGCTCTGAGTTATTACTTTGCGGGGATAGAGGAAGGTGTTAAATTCCTCAAATGTCAACATTCCTCTTACATATGACAATCAAACTGTTTCCTCATTAAGTCATTAAAAATCAACATTTGCTGATTAAAGTTCCTTAATTTATACATAAAAGCTTAGAGCCCTCCTCACATATTGGGGAAAATGGTGATTTGCCACTTCCAGTGCGACAGTTGCCTGGATCCTAATTGATCATTTTGTTCTAGAGGAGGCAGGATGAAGGGGAGTTCAGGGTTCAACTCTAAGGGTAACCCTGTTACTCTTACATCAGTTGAAAACAGGGCCGGCTCTGGCTTTTTTGCCACCCCAAGCAAAAAAAAAAAACCTGCGGGGGAGGGGCCGGGGCAGCGAAGCAAAAAAAAACCACCTTCAGGGCGGCCGGAGCGGCAAGCCAGGGTGCAGGGGGACTCCCTGTACTGCAGATATGCAGCGGACTGTGCGCCCGGTCTAGCGGGGGGGAGAGGGAGAAGGGGGACGGCCAGGGCTTCAGCGGGGCGTGTGCCATGCGGCTCCTCCTGCCGTGCCGCCTGCCGGGAGGGCTGTGCGCCGCTCCGGTCGGCTGGGAGGGAAGGACGCGGTTTGCCCTGCCAAGTTTGCTGCAGGGCGCTCCCCTCCTCTGCGCCACCGCCCCCTACAGTGGGGCCGGAGTGGCAAACTAAAAAGAAAAAGAAAAAAAAGGGCGGCCGGAATGCTGCCCCTTGGAATCTGCCGCCCCAAGCATGAGCTTGCTCGCATGGTGCCTGGAGCCGGCCCTGGTTGAAAAGCCCAACTGCATATAACAATCAGATTAATTCAGTTCTATTGCCCTTTTCACCCTAAACTTTAGTGTCCCAAAAGCAGATGATAAATGGTGTGGAATGAAACCCAGTCCCTTAATATCAAGTTTAGCATTTCCATGACAATGACTATGACAAAGCATGATGAGAGATGTGATTGAATCTGGGCAGCCTGTAGCTCAGGCCATATTCTTTCTGGTGAGCCAAAGATGAAACTGACCACTAACTAGCCTCTAATATACCTTTGTTTATAGGCTAAAAGTAACTTTGCACCCAGGGCCGGCTGCAGTGTTTTTGCCACCCCAAGCGGCGGGAAAAAAAGAAAAGAAAAAAGAGGCGCGATCGGCACTTCGTTCTTCGGCGGCAATTCGGCGGCAGGTCCTTCCCTCCAAGAGGGACTGAGGGACCCACAGCAGAATTGCCACCGAAGACCCCGGACATGCCGCCCCTTTCTGTTGACCGCCCCAAGCACCTGCTTGCTGTGCTGGTGCCTGGAGCCGGCCTTGTTCACACCCTTAGTACAGGCATACAATGCACATAGATATCAATGGGAGTTGAAAGAACGGGAATACTTGTGTCACCTTAGAGACTATCAAATTTATTTGATGCATCCGATGAAGTGGGATATAGACCACGAAAGCTTATGCTCAAATAAATTTGTTAGTCTCTAAGGTGCCACAAGTACTCCTGTTCTTTTTGCGGATACAGGCTAACACGGCTACTACTCTGAAACCTGTCATTATGAATGGGAGTTGAGTGTATGGATTAATGGCAGGTTGTGATCTGGAGTTTTGATGTATCAGATTTATAGAGATCAGGAACTGTGAATTACTTTTCCTCGCAATCAGCATGTGAAATAGTCTTGGATCACTGACTTTTAAAACTATTCTGTTCTTCTTTTCCTTTTAATTTGAAATCTTCAGTAAGAGCATTGCTGTTTGGTTATCAGTAAGTAACAATTCAAGCAAAATAAAGGAGTTTATTTGTGCCCTAAGGGTCCATCTGCCTTAGCTTTTAAGATAATACTGCACTGAATGGGTGGGGGGGAAAAAGCTTGTGCAACACACTCCACAAAAGAATTAGCCAATACTGCAGAGTGTAAAATGTCTTTCCAAAGCTATACTTATTTTCAGTCCAGCTCTCTTATCAGGTAGGGATGCCGCTGTTCTGCTTCCAAACATATTTCAGTGTCCAAAGGATATTAGTATGCATGCTGCTTATGGCCTGCGCTATCCCAGGGCCTTTGTTTAGGTCTGAAAGGAAAACTTTTCATAGCCTGAGCTGAATTCTTGACAAAAGCTTCGGAACAAAACGATAGCAAACCCTTTTGCAGCTAATGTAGTGGAGTTGTCATAACAAATAGCTCATTGAAAGCTCCACATTTAGTTTTAATATTTGCTGTTTTAATCACAGAAATGCTGCATCGCCAAGGCTTTGTGAATACTAAGATAGCATCTGGCATTGGGAGTGGGGAGTAGAGTGTTAGTGATTTCCCAGTTAACTAGCAGTTCACTTTTTGAAGACATTTATTTACTAAAGGATCTCTGAAAATAGATGTGCTCAGATAATACTGTGCTCTGCTTTAGCACAACAAATAAAGGGCTTGATTCACCCCCCAACATAACCAGGGATGCAAGGACCCTGATCACAAAATATCTTTGCGAGGGGTGTTGTGGCAGCAGAAGATGCCAGTCATCTCCAGTCTATGGGGGGACTCATAGCAAGTTTTTTGCAATCCCAAAATGGAAAGTGCTGACTAAGTACTGTATGTGGTGTTGCAAAGTAACACGGGAGAAGCATTGATTCAGCATATCCCATGGGCAGGTTTGGCTTCCCCAGCTACGGACATTCTACAGAGCAACTTCCTGTATGCTTAAGGGGTACAGGTCAGTATTAGGGTTAGGTGGCTAGCCAAATAGTTCAGATTATGGAATTTCCACAGGAATTTCCATTTGCAATTTCTTGCTAGCCAAAAGAACTTTGAAGTCTGGGAAATGAAGATCCATATTTTCATGGGTTTTTCCCCTAGCTTTTTTATTTTTAAAGGAAAACAGGGCTTCACCTCTTCTTGAGCGCCACTCAGTGCAGAATATGAAGGTGGCTTTATCTTTGCACCCCTCTCCATTCAATAAAGGGGCTGTCTGGAAGGCAGTTTGGCTCCCAGCACAAATTATATCAACCTCTGGGTAGATCTGTCTCCTCTGAGACCATATTACACAAGTCTGTACACATTAAAACTGAAATCTTATGCATGCACGCACAAATTTAATGGGATCCTGGGAGATGGTCTAATTCAATGGAAATTTCCACTCATTTTACATATGCACACGAGCCCAGTGCCCATAGAACATTGGTAGATAGTTTTATAATTAAAGCTAGGTCACATCCCGTTATCTTAGCCAATTCAGAACCAATTTTTACAAGACCACAAAAAGGTATTTCTGTGCTCAGAAGTATTTCGACTCCTAATGTTCATTGATATCTCTGCCAAATATTATGTTTCCATCATTTCCAACTAAGGTTCTAGAACTAGTATAAAAAAAAAGTTGCAACATTTTTTTTTAGCAGGAAAACAGCATTTCCTCCACTCTGTCAATTCTTAAAAATGATACAACAATTTTTGTTGAAGCTCTTGGGAAAACTTTGTTCCCTGACTGAGAGCAAATGTATTACATGTCAGTAAAAAAGGGGAAACTTGAGAAAGCTGCAAGAAAATAACTCTTTAGAACATAAGCGCTTGGGCCACCTTAATATAGGTGTCATATTCTGCATATAATACATTCTACCTATTTTTGATATGGGCCCAGATCCTGCAATTGTATGTGTGCAGAGCCTAATTGCAATCAGTGGGGCACCACCCAGGCATCATACAGATCAGATTGATATTTTATTTATGCCACATCTTAGACACATTTTAAAAGAATTTTTAAATAGTTTTAAACATTTATTGGTGTATATTTATATTTTTGTAATGTTTTCATACTATTGCAGTTAGAGATTATTGCATCTAAACTTGTCCTATTTTAAAATGAAAAATCAAAACAATGGCGCTATGTAAATTGTAGAACTTACTGGTACAATAATGGTGATATCGGTCCCAGGCAACCGCAGCAGAGGAGCTAATGCTTGCCAGTGCTGTCACAAAGCCCTGAAATCCATGAATCTGACAACCATCAGAGCCATAGGGCCAGTACCTGCAAACAAATAAGGAAACCATTCAAAATGTAATAGAAGTAGGTGAAGACATCTTTGGTAATTGAAATAATTCAGAAAAAATATACAATATATAATTGTTTTCCTGTTTTGAAATGTGTAAATGCTATTACAGTGTGGTCATCATTAAACAGTCTATATTTGACAGTAGTTACCACACAGTTGTGTCTGATATAATACATTTTGTCTCTGTATTGAAAATGGAAACCACCCGTTGTTGATATATTGGTGAATGCTGATTTCGTAAGCAAACAATCTACATACCATTCAATAATACAACTTTAAAATATATTTGCACTGAGTGTGGATAACTTGTCAATATATTAATTTAAGCCCATTTAGTAAAGTTTATACAAAAATAAATGGAAACCAGTTACAAAAGCTTTGTCATGAAGTGAAAGGAAATGCAGTAGAGCCTCATTAAATGGTAATTTGTTAATTTGTACACAAAGCATAATGGTCCACCTCACAAAGATTTTTTAGGGCTACATTTTAATCTCAGTGTTCACTGACAATGCTGTGTTTTTGTGGGTGTAAAACTGTAGGCAGAGTTGAAGTCACCTGGTGATGTCCCTTTCTATGTACTTGTATGACCCCTAACACCATAGAATGAGACTGTGCTACTAAATATGTTTCTAAATCCATGTTTGAGTACTCAAATAGGAGTGACCTGACTTTCTGAGATATTAAACAACTCAGGTCCCATTTAAATTAATGCGAACTGTAAATGCTTAGCAGCTTTGCAAAGAGGCTCTTTCTATTTAGGTGCATAAATATGGATTTAAGAGTCTGACTTTAGGTACCCCAGTTGGGAATCAAGCACTCAACTGACCATCCAAGTGGCAGCAATTGAAGGCACAAAATTGTGTCTGCAATTATTTGTGCTCACAATTTGTGGATGCAAAAAGGATTGTCGGCTTTTGCAACTATAGTTTTTAATATGGGAGTTTTAATATTGGGGATGCAAACCTTGTACCAGTTAGGAAAGGGTTAAGCAGCTGCGCTGGGCCCAGGCAGCTTCATCCCATCACACTTGCAAAGCAGTTCTAAAGGGGAGCAGGCCAGCTCAGTAAAGCAGCAGTCTGTAGAGATGAGCTGACCTACACTCTGAGCTCCTGGGAAGGAGCTCCACAGGAACTTCTGTGCCCCGAGGCCTGACTGTAGCATGGCCAAATGCAAAGGGAAGAGGCTTGAGATTTATAGAAGATCTGAAAATATATTTGATTTCCACTTATTTGATGTCTTTACCCATTGGAAAAGAGGGAATGGGTAGGAAGTAATCCAGGGAGGCAGCAGTATGGCACTTTGGTAGTG